AAGCATGAACAGGTGGCACGTTGGCACCTACATACGACTGTGCAAAATGTTATACGTGTGTACGAGGTAGAGGACGATGGGAATTAGGGTCAAAGAACACATCCCGGCTATGGGTATTGGACTGCTTATAGTCGGACTTCAAAACTTTGTTCAAATATAAAGGCGTGACTGCATATGAGTTATCTAAGGAGTCAACTGTTGGTTTTGTTATGGAGCCAACAGTCAATGGGACAGCTATATGATAGTTGTCCCATTGGCTGTTGACCCCATAACAGAGCCAACAGTTGACTCCTTAACATTATTATAATTGATTTTAATTCGTTATGACCAGTTATGAGAGGTTGAGTTATTTTTAATTTTCTAGAAGACGCCAAATGCATGTTAAGCGCTCGACTAATGCTTAGGCGAGGCTTAGGCTGTACCTACAAAATTAATTACTATATTTTTTTTATTATTTTTACTTTCTACAAAATAAAATTATCTCAATTTATAATAAATAAACACACTTAGTTCAAATAATAATATTAATATATGATATAAATAAAACATGATAGTAAAATAATATAATTAGAATTTAAAAAAAAAACTGAAAAAATTGTCGTCGAGCCCACCAGGAACGCCTAGGCCCGTTTAGGCGCCGCCTAACCGTCGTTCAACTGATTCATACAAATTGGAGGCAGTCGAGTGACACCTAATACGTAAGCCTATTTTTAGTACAATATTTATTTCATATCTAATCATCTAACTCAAAATTCAACTCAATTCAATTCTCCTATTTTTTTATAAATATAATTAAATAATATCAATCATTTTAACCCATCATTTCAGCTTTAATTCACTATTCATCCACCTACATAATTTTAACTACATATCACTTCCATTGGTATCTCTCATACTTTTACATTACATCAATTTTAATCATTACAATTTAAATATTATTTAACTTCAATTCATAATTACCAACTTAATCCACTTTATTCAAAATAACTCATTTATTTAACCAAATAAAACCGGTCTAGACCGGTTGGATTTCTATCAATCGCGCCCTTACAAATATAAAAGTAAATAAAAATCAGGAATCCAAATGTCATTGATTTCTTACTGTTGGATTTTTTATTCCCAATTATTTTTCTCGTGTGTTCAATGACTTCTTATTTTGTCTTTTACGTTTCTCTCTGATAATTCAAAATAGAGTAGATATTTCTTTCTTAAACCTTTATTCCCGTGTCACATATGAAGATATGCTTTTTCTTCCATTAACGTGACCGTGTAAACGGTCGTATCAAAATTATGTACTCTTTTTCTGGCCCGTTTCACTTATTTCTTTCATTCTTTTATTCGGGCATCAATCGTTCATCATTTTTTTCAATAGCCAAAAGATTTTTAAAAATGTAACAATGTCTACAAAATAAACATGTGTAATACATTTTTAAACAAAAAAATATAATTAAAGCACAGTAATAAAATTTACACAACGATAATACAATAAGTAAGCTCTAGAAACTATATAAATGTGGTGTAAAATACTAAAATCACATGTGGACAATAATTATATCAAAATTGATTTGTGTAAGGTGAAATGTGCTTGGTATTTCATGATTTGATATAAAGAAGTATTTTATTTTATTAATTAAATATCTTAATTATCTTAAATTTATGTCTACAAATAAATAAAAATACTATTAGTAAAATCTAAAATTTCGGAGTTTACGATTGATACATAAAATAATACAATATAGTCCCATCTATATTTGTAAACTAAAATTAAATTACATATAAATCATAATCAATGAATAAAATTATTATTTTAAAAAGTACTTTTAATGTTAATATACTTTCTTATAACTTTTTAATTTATCTTTTGCACATGCACATATGAAAAAAAAAAATAAAAAAAAAACTATAAATTATATGTATGGATGTAATATTTAAAATTATATACACCTTATATAATGTGAATATCATATTTATAAATTTAATCTTAGTAAACATGAACAGTATGAATGTAAACTATTTTATTTACTTATGAATCACAATATATTGTATAAAATGCAATGAATAACATAATTTATGCAATTTTGAGGAAGCATTACCAATTAATTATCCAAAAATTATTAAAATTATTATTGTTTAGGCAATTTTAAATATTCGTACATGAGGATAATATAATGCATGTAATAATTGGCATGTGGTGAAAATATGAATAAAATTTAATCACGTTATATTTTAGGTATAGTTAAATTTGAATGCCAGCTAATGTGACTGGTTGTACAAATATTATGTTCACCTCACCTTTGGACAAGGTGGATTTTTTTAGCTTTAAACAAAATCAGAGGGCCGTGGTTAAACCTACACTATGTGAGCCTGTCTGATCGTGGCCACGTGTGTTGATAGATAATGAATTATTATCTCTACGAAATATTTGGTTGTCTACTGTAATTGTTTTTTTTTTCTTTTAAAAAAATTGTTATATCTTTTTTTTTTTCATTTTTTTACATTCATAAACTAAGATAAATGAAAAATAATAGGGAACTGCGATAGTTGTTACCCAAAGATTTTTCTTGCTCAAAGAAAAATGAAGAATAATAGGGCCAACATTATGTAACAAAAAATAATTAATCTNTTACCCCAACTTGTGACAAGTTGAAAATTCCAAGAAAAATGACAATTGGCAATACATAATATCGCAATATAGATTTTTATTTGAGATGGTCTAATTGTTAGAGGTTCATTTTTATTTATATTATTACATCTTCAATTTAAAAATATGCACATTAATTGAAAAAAAAAAAATTGTAGTATAATTAACCTCGTGGGGCTTAGCAGCCTTCGCTCGTGTCTTGGGCAAATTTTTGAATGATAGAACAAGTCAGATTTAAATTGGTTTTTCTAACGTGCCTTCTTGGAAATATTTGTGTAGGAAGATTAGTAGGAAAAGAAATAATAAAAAAAAAAACAAATGATCTAAGTATTGAAATGTTGTCTCCATGTGTAGTTTATTGGTGTACAAGCAGCATGTGCATATACTATTATATCCCATCATCCAACTCAACTTTTTGCCATTTATTCCTCTGAAATGATATTTTATTTTAATTGATTCAATATCTTCAATCAGTATACCCAAATGGCCAACAATATTTAGACAACAAAAAAAAAAAATCCCAAAGAACTGTGTCTACTGGTAGAATGAAATTCACCTGTTATTCTTCAAATGTTATAATTGGTTTATATCAATCATGTCAAAACCATGTTCTCCTAAATAGTCAGCTCACATAACACTAGCAATAAAGAAATGATTTGGTAACCTGCTTGTTCTAACAGAATCTTCACAATCCATAACAAATTTAGCTGGCATGCTCCCCATTGTCCAAATTGCTCTCAAGTCAAACAAACCCAACTCCACTATATATACACACACACTCCAATTTACAGACATTAAATCAATCACCTCTCAGAAAAAAAAAGGGGGGGGAAAAAAAAAAGATTCAGTTCAATAGCATTGAAAAAAATTGAAAATGCAGAAAATGAGGACCAAAGTAAATAATGCCTCGGCCGTTGCATTCAGCAAGAATTTGAAGGAAAGAGGGCCAATTCCACACAGAGGGCAGATTAAAATGAAGATTGCGGCAAAGGCAATACAGTCGCTCGTGTCTATAATGTCATCATCTTCGTCTCACCATTTGGGTACGCCGAGAAAAAGGTCACAGCAATGAGGAAAAACGAGATATTATATGTATCGAGTTTTCATGTAACCGAATTTTGGTGCCAGAATACTTTTTCTTTGTAAATCTGAAGTATGTCTTTTTTTTCCCTACGATTCGGTGGGTGCTCGTGTGAGAACTAATAGCCTGGTGAAAGAAATGAATCGAGGTTCAGTATGGTATCTTTCTTTGGTTAAAAGTTAAAACTGCAGGCACAAAACCTAGGCATTCTAATATAAAGGACATGAAATCTTGATACCTTTTTCACAAAACTAAAAGAACAAAACAATGCCCCTTCAAAACATATGAAAAAAAAAAAAAAATATGAAAAAAAAAAAAAATCAGATCTCGCAAGCGAATAGACCACGCAAACTTCAACAAGAAAATGTGTACAGGCCACCTTGACAAACATATATGAAGAGGGCCATTCTAGAAAAACCACAGAAGCTATATATTGACATGCTACCTTCGTCCAAGTCCACTTTCTCGAGCTCAAACAATTGTGGCTAATTTACTCGACCATCATCAACAAGAACAACTTAAAACAGCTGATGATCAGATGATAGCCGAAGATTGTTTTTTCAATGACCTCTATTTTCTTAGACCACTTTGAGGGAAAAAGATTTCACATATTTTTTCTGTTATTCCTCAATATTGGTCATTATTTTTACATGGGTAACCAAAATCATCTATTGAGATTGAGAATGGCAAAAGAAGGATTATTAGAGGGCTCTCCTTCCATTCAAGTTTATTATATTCGGGTTACAAAATTAACTTGCTTCACAAACCATATGCAAGAAAGCTAAATTCTCTTCTGAGTCACCTATCAAACTAGGAATTGTACCACTGGTGCTTAAAGTACCCGGTTTTCGATTATATTACATTATTAGTAAGCTTATAAACATGTCGAAGTATTATGCATGAGAATGGAGAAACGAAATAAAGGAAACAAATATGCGTCTCATTATAATGAGCTTGCATTTTTGTTTTTTCACAAGTAGCAAATTATATATCATGGTACATCAAACTACATAAAACATGAACTTGCATTCTAAGTTCAAAAACTCTAAAATACTCAACCAACTCTTAAAAAACTTTTTTCACAAGTAGCAAACGACTACAAAGATCGAGTACTACAACAACTCGCAAAACTTATTCTACGAGAGAACTACAAGATTTATTTATTTTCAGTTTTACAATATTTACAAAGACTCATTTTGTGTAATCCAAAAACATCCACAACAAAACCAACACAAACGTAAAGGCTTCATTTCACCTGCCGTTCGTCAATCGTCATTGTTATCCCTTTTGCTCCACGATTGCAGCATTGAAAGGGCAATGAGAGATCCAAGGAAAGGGGAAAATGGAGGCGGCCGGCTGAAGGTGGTAATCGGCTCGACTTTCTCCTTCTCTATACGTGCTTCGCTAGCATCATCATTTGATTGTTTCCTAGGAGTCAAAGTCCCAGCTGCCCACAAATAAAGTAATTTTACGAAATTACAAACCATGCAAATGAATTGTGAAATAAATCATGAATACAAAAAAAAATAAAAAAATAAAAAGAATTAGATTTTTACCCCATCTTCCTCTTGAAGAGGAGATCGGCCTGAATTTTCTCACAAGAGATGAAGCAGTCATTAGCGCCAGAATTAAGGACGAATCTGCAGAATTGGTGAGATGAAATTAATCAGAACGATAACAAAGTGATGATAACCTTGCGGATAACTAAGAACCATAATCAAACCATCTTCACGAATCAAGTTGGAATCTTTCACGATAATTGAAAAGGAATTGGATTGAATATGAAGAATGGTTAAAAGGGAATCAAATTCACCACGCGAACTTTCTGGATTTGTTCTCAATCCTCCTCATTTTGTACAAAAAAGGGGGGGAAAGAAAAGAACTGTGCAAATTTTACGAACATATAAACGCATACCTGCGAAATTCGCACGCCAATCGATGAAAGCTTCAATGGAGAAAGATGGTGATGTTAAAGAGGCTTAAGTTGCTCGTAGCGTGGGGAGCGAAAACAGGAAAAGCTGAGCTTTGTCAACCTATGCTTCTTGGTTCTTCCTTTTGGGGGGACAGGAGGAGGAAGAAGCTTCGTGAAAGTTCAGAATTTTTGGGCCTTAAAGATGGGCTTATGGACATTTAGATTAATGGGCTATTTTTGGTTGCGTCAAATTTGAGCTAGTGAATGTCACAATGTTCAGGTGGATCATTGAAGTCCCTTCTCACATAGGTCACTTTTTTAATTTTTTTACAAATATCTAACATTCAAAATAAAATTAAATAAAATTATATATATATATATATATATATTATAGAAATGAGTCATTAGAAAGATAATGCAAATTAGAAATCAAGAACCATTATGAACAGTAAGAGGTAATAAGTTTAAAAAATAAAAATAAAAGATTCATACATATATAAATAAATACAAATTCGTAGATAAATGGTGTAATTTCTAGAAACAACGGAGGAAGAAACAATCGAAGGTAAATTATGAGAAGAATGAGAAGTGTTTGAGGTTATAAAAATCCTTATTTCATAACTATACTTTGAAATGTTTTGGTCTTCTTTGGCTAGTAGCTAACAACGAACAACTGATTACATGTATTAGCGAATAACTGATGCTAAATTGTAATAGTTATTTTTTATTAGGGTGATATTAGTTGTTTCTAAATAGTATTTGGTAAGTAGCATATTAAATAGCTATTTTGAAAATTTTATGTTGACATGGTATTCAACAAATTATCTGTTTTTAAAATGCTCCTAAAATAGACATTTTCAGTCCGCTAATTTTACACTAACCCAATAACATNAAAAAGAGATTAGTGATGTAGAAAGTTACAGTTAAAATGTAGAATGCAATCTTGAATTGAGAGGTGGTGCTAAAACATTGTGAAATGGAGTTTCAATAAAGAATAACTTTTAAGTGTACTCAATAATTTGTGCATGTATATATCATATAATAAAATTAAATGTTTTATTTCAATTATATATACCTACAAAATATGCATGTATTTGCGTCATTTTATAAGGAATTATAGCTATTTGGGTTAGAAAGATGACTCGACTATCAATTTAGGACTTGAGAAATAAAATTTATTTTTTTAGAAATATATGAATTATCAATTTAAGAGATCTAAAAATTAACATCATTATACTTTTCTTAACATGCGATGACATTATCTTCGAGAAGACAAAAAGAAAAGTACCTAAATAAAAAATAACAAGTATTAAAAAAGATGTGGAAAAACATCATTCAATATATGTTCCAATGTCATTTTTTATTTTCATGCATGATCAGGATAACAATTTACGTCTTTTCATTTTTTATTTTTTATTTATATTTAGATGTTATGTGATTTATAAACATTTATGTTTTAATAACTGATGTGTCGTACAAAAAATTATTGATTTTTCATCTCTTTTTGAGTTTTTTTCTTTATATTAAGATGGGTTTTTTTTTTCCCCTTAATGTCTCGAAATTTTAAATTATATATCAATTCCAGATATTACAGGTCTCTAATCCAAAAATTTTATCTTTGAAACCACAAACTTAAGGTTGACCATTTTTAGGTCCTAAATTGATAAATTTTATTTTTTAGTAACAATCTTTCCATAAAAGTATAAATCTGTGTTATAGATTCTGTGCTTATATCAGTACAATAACTCATCTATATAATTTCTCCATTAAGCTGGTTAAACATAATGATTACTACAATGTGGAAATGACACATTAAACTATTCAAGACTATATCTCCATCACACAATCTTAAGTAGTTAAGCAAATTAAGATGATATAATAATTCCTAATCATAATAATTTTGAATAGATACTAAAGTTCTATCACCCTTCCACGGGAAATTTTCAAAATTAGTCCCATAGATATAGGGGTTGACAATTTTGGTCCCGGCAGAATACACAAAATATGAATAGTCCCACAGCTTTTAAAAAATAATCAAAAGTAGGACTTTTTCGCCGGATTTACTATTTCTGGCCCGGAGCGCCACGTGGCGTACACGTGGCTTATTTTTTACACGTTGGTATCCGACGTAGATAGGAAAAAATTCAAAACTAGTCCCACAAGTATAGAGGGGTGACATTTTTTGTCCCGATGGAATGCAGAAAATTCAAAACTAGTCCCACAACTTGTAAAAAAATATGAATACGTCGGATGCCACGTGACGTTCCGGGCCGGAAATAGTAAATCCGGCGAAAAAGTCATACTTTTGATCATTTTTTAAAAGCTGTGGGATTATTCATATTTTTTGCATTCCGTCGGGACCAAAATTGTCACCCCTCTATACATGTGGGACTAATTTTAAAATTTTCCCACCTTTCCACTTAGTAGCCTAATATTATGTGATTATGGGGGATTTATTGTTAAAAATGGCATAAATACTCCCATATTGGTTTCAATTAGTTGATGAAGGATGTATGGAGTATGGACCAATTAGATCGTTCTATAATATAATTTGTTCTATTATAAAGTCAAGAGAACATTTAAAAAAAATCAAATTGATAATATATATGTGATTGAAAATAGCTCGTTTTACATGATAACATTGCAACATTATATTTTTTAATTAGTTAACTGTGAGTGTATGGTACGATTAGATTACCTCACCATTTTTATAGTTAAAAATGAATATATGGTACGAGTAGATCACCTCACAGTGGAATTTTACTATAAAACTAATTAAGAGAAATTAAAAAGTTTCAAATCTATACTTATATAATAAGGTGTACCATTTACGAAATTTAGTAAGTTGAAAAGTCAATGCAATAAATGCATTACTATTTTGAGCAACATAATATAATATCATATCTATACTTATATAAAAAGAGATTCTATTTACTACATTTACTATCTAGAAAAGTCAACTGCATTAAATGTCATTACTATTTTGGTATTATAATATTTTATTTATTTAATTAATTTATTTATTTGTTTTATTTTAAAAAGGTAAGTATAATAAAAAGATTTTAATAATAAAAAAAATCAAATACCAAATAAAAATATACACTTTGACTTATGTGATTATATTTGGTATTTGATTATACCAAATATATTCTTATTTAGCATATACATTAAATACTTACTAAAGTATTTATTTGTTTTATTTGTCAAAGTTAAGTATAGATTTGTTTATATTATTAAATCATAAAAAAATATTAAATCCATATTGTAAAAAAAAAAAATCATATAATTTTATAACAATTCTACTACACTATTTAACAATATTTCTTTTTTATTATATAATAAAATAATAATTAAATATTATATGGTGAACAACAATAAGTAAAACTGTTACTTTCTCTTATATCAAGGGATAAATTTATATGCTAAAATTAAATTTTTATTAGTATAAATGTTTTAGTGAGATAATATATTAATTATTTTACAAGCTAGCCCTAACATGCTCATATTTAATGTTTTAAAAGATGTAGAAAAAAAACTTATAATAACTCTATTGTTTTTTAGACTTAAACGTTGATTAAAAGAGGTAAAAATTCCTAATTTTTTAGACTTAAACGTTGATTAACACCATAGATTGAGAGTTTATATTTAGTAAAATTCCTAATTGTAATAAAAAAATTAATTTTTGCTATATTTTAGAATATCTTTAAATTCATTATAAAAAAAAAAAAAAACTACAATGAAAAAAACAAGTCAGCTATATATCGATTTGTTGTATTCCTCAAATCAGATTCACAATTTGGCTACAAGGAAAGAAAACTCATTGATTAAAATATTATTTTGTCAGTAGTCATAATGTACAAGAGACTTTAAGACTCCACTTGAATATTATAAAACTTTTATTGAACATTGTACAATTTTCTTGCGTATTATAAACTTTTATTGAATATTGCATCTTATAATATAATATTCTCCAAATAAATATATCCCGTGTTTTGCACGGGTCACGTACTATATATGTCTTGTACATTTTTCTTTATTTATGTATATAATTATAAACCTAGATAAATAGCCTTAAAATTATGCACCCTGTGCATCGCACGGACTCTATACTAGTATATAGATAATGGGTGATTGAAAAATAGCTCACTTTACAAAATAACATTGCAATATTATTTTTAATTAGTTAAATTTATTGTTGCAACAATATTAGTTAGGTTTGTCCTACAAGTTCCCTTCCAACCGAATTACGGAGACTGTTTATATCCAATAAAATCATACTGTCCTAATCACTTTTCTTGACTGATCATAAGTAATCTATAATTTACCTTTTGATTTGATTAAAGTGGTGCATTACCTGCTTCAATCCCACTAATTAATATCTTAAAAGATAATGTGATTGATGACGGTAATATATCATCGGCCACACAGTAACAACATATATCTATTATATATTATTAATTATTGAAGGCTTAAAGCTTCAAATTAAAACAAAATTCCCTACAATAAGGTAAGATCATAAATATCGCGCTACTTTAATGATTTGTTACCTTTTATAATTCTACTATTTATTTTGTTAGGACTTTTTCATTATTTTTATGTTAACATTTTTATCTTTATATTTATCTATTACTTTAATATTAAAAGTTTATGCTTATATTTATAAACTAGTTCTCTCAAAAGTCACATTTGTACAATGATATTTCAGGAATCACACAACTGAGAGAAAAACCAACATTTTAAGTGAAATGCGTATTGATCCTATTTTTATTCAATCTTTATTCACAAGTGTATATGATCTATCACACAATTGAGAGCAAAACCAACATTTTAAGTGAAATTCATATTGATCTTATTTTTATTCAATCTTTATTCTCGTGTACATGATTGTAGACATCGAAATTTTAATATTTTATTAATTAATGTCTTTATTTATTTTGGGACATAAATTCAAGATAAATAAGATATTTAATTAATAAAATAAATATTTCTTGCCCACCAAGTCAAATCTTAGAATAAGGAAGGAGATTATATCAAATCTTAGGATAAGGAAAGAGATTATATCAAATCAAGAAGAACCAATCAAATTGATGTCTTCTTCTCTAAGACTCTCTCTCTTACATCTTTATAGGGCTTTCCTCAAAGTCACAAATTACACCCATCACACCTGAAATACCTCAAAAAAATCCAACACCTCAAAAGTTTTATGTTTTTCATAAAA